CTTTGGCAGTTGGAGAGTTAGACAGTAACCTGCAACTTAATGCTTTTGAACTTGGGAAGCAGCTTTGGTTAAAACCAAATGCCTGCTGAAGAAAGGAGTTTATATTATTTCAAATGGGAAGTATTTCCGTGGCATTTCTTGGGTTCCTTTTCAGAAAGTATTTACTTACATGCAACAGCAGCAAAACCTGTTCAGTGTTATAGTATTTTCTAACACAGCAAGATATTAATTACACTCTTGAACCTGGTAATGTAACATTGATGCTATTATGATGGGAATAGTTCATTCAGCAAGGGTGATTAACCACTTACTTCCTTTTTCCTGGATACCATTAGTTTGTACTTGGATAACAAAAATCAATGCTGATCTTCAGCAGCATCACAGTATTCTATTGTATCAATCTCAATCAACATATTCTTCATTTTATTATTGCCTGCATTCTTTAATTGAGTTCATTTCCCATCACACCACCAGCCCCCACCAAATTTCTGATGGTGGGTTTTATTACTTGAATTGCAGCTCTCCTATTTCACTATTTGTTTTGTTGGCAGGGAAGGGAAAAAAAAAAAAGCCTCCAAACAGCTGAGTGCCAGTAGTGCTGATGACTTCTGTTTTATTTATGTTTTGCACTGAGCCATGGTGAATGATAAAATGTGTCTGGGACACGGCTGTGGGCAGCACTCTAAGTGTTGTAGTTGGAAATCTGCCAGAGTTGCATTGCTACCAATTTTTTACCCTTAGCCTTCTGGAAGGAAGGATTCAAAGTCTCATTTTATTCCCTTCTTCACCTGTGTCACCTTTGCAGTAAATTAATGTGAGATGTTTAGCAGAGATGGAGCTGATGTGGTGAGCTGTTGCTCCCACAGCGTCCCCTGGCACTGGAGCTGAGGAGTCAGGAGAATCCTTTGGGATAACAGAGAGCTTGGCTTGGAGCTGGAGCCTGTGGTGGGGCTGTGCTGATGCTGTCCTGGAGCTCAGCAGGAAACTCTGAGCTTGATCCCGAGGAAAAAGCAAAAAGCAGCAGTTGTTTGTTCCCTGCTCAGCTGTGTGGGGACTCGTGTCCGAGGCTGTAATTAGAAGATATACCTGCTAATGAATTGGTGTAATCCCCTGCTTTGTTCAGAGTCTGCTGGGGGATCTCTTTTCCTGCCTTTGCAGAGGCAGGTGACCTTGCTAAATACTTAGCAGTAAAAATGTGTTTTCCCTTGCTTGTTTCACAGCCTTTCTTCTGGCTCAGCCACTGGAGCTCTTCTTTATTAATTGAAAATACTTACTCAAGTTTAGTTTCAGGGAAGGAGGGAAGTTAGAAGAATATACATGAACATGTTCCATGTGTCATATACAGCTACATGAATGCACACACACATGGAATTCTGATTTCTTAATGGCCACGCTAGCAATAAAAACAAAAAAAATTTAATATTTAAGCAAGGCGTTATGTTTTCAATTATTTTTCAGTCACCAGCCACTTAAAATATTTAATCTTTTCTCCTCCCAACTAATTTATTCAATTGCAATTAGGTAGATTGTAATTAATATTTGATGAGACAAACTAATACTAATTTGAATACTACACTGTAACATTTGCTCGCAGATGTGTTGTTTAGCTTCCAGATACCTGTTTTTTGCCCTCGCTGAAGTTGAAAATGCTCATCAACGTTGCCACAAGGCCCAAGCTGTACCTTAAGCTGTATGACACACAAATATAAGGATGAGTGTGCTGGGTCAGAGGATGGTCCAGCCAGCTCCTGTCCTCACCCCAACAGGGATCAATAGTTAATGCCTAAAGACAAGAATTAAGAACAGGGCAAAGGTACAGCAAGGCTTCCTGAGAGACAGAAAGTCTCCCAGACTTCATTGATTTGTGGCCTGGAAACATCCCAAGATAGAAATGGTGTCTTCAAATTTAATATCTGGCTTATTTGTTACGTCTAAAGTATATAGTTATTTTGTATAATTCATGCTTCCATCAGCAAAGGACTGAGATTCCTCCGAGGGAAATACTCTCTTTTTACTGGAAAAATGTCTTGTCTGCCTTTTCTGATTAATGAGAACATCCATATGCTGGCTTTTGTGAGTGGAAGACGGATCTGGTACCACTTAACTATGTTAACTGAATGTAAAAATCTGAAGTGGTGGGCTAATGAAAGTAATTTGCAGTTTGTCGGCGTGTTCCCTCTGATCAAAGACGAGTGGGGGAGCACAGCAACTTAGAAACAGCACAAGCAGGCTGTGGGATTTCTAGGACATGGGGCATTTTTTGCAACTTCACACTTGTTTTTGTTTCAGGTAGGAACAGCGCCAGCTCCTACAGCAGGTGCAGGCTTAAATGGATGATTTCTGTGTCAGGGATCGTATGGATTTGGGTTGGGAAGGATCTTAAAGACCATCCATGGACAGCTTTCACTATCCAGGTTGCTCTGAGCCCCATCCAGCCTGGCCTTGGACACTTCCAGGGATGGGAAGCCACAGCTCCTCTGGGCACTGTGTCCTCACTCTGCAGCTGTGGGGTGCTCCCGAGGCTCTGGGCTTGGCAAGAGTTGCCCAAAGCCAAGGAGGACCAGGGAGCACCTTGGCAGCTCTGTGGTGGGTTCTCTGAGGCTGTGAGAGGGAAACCAGCTGGACACTGACCATCAGGTCAGGACTGACCTACTGAATGTGTTTTCCTGCAAAACTGTATAGGTTTGGGCAACACAAATGGCATACATTCTTTTTTATTTCTTTTGACTATATTTTTTTCTTCTTTTTTTTTTCCTTTTTACGGTTCTGAGCCAACACAAATGATAGCTCATGAGGGTTTCCATGCATTTATCTTTCGTAGCTTTTTACTTTATTGCTGACTAGGATGGACCCTGGCCTGGCTCCCTGCCTCTGTATTGTGTGATACACATCAGCAGAGTGTGGAGGAAGCACACTGCCTTCAGACTGGAGCATCTGCACTTTGCTGCTTCCTGGAAACCTGGCCATTGATTTAATTTCATTAAGTTGCCCCATCTCACTTATACCATGAGAGATGCGAATTGTGCACACTCACTGCATGTATAAAGTTGTTTTCACCTCCACATCCACACCTCCTGTTACTTTTCTTCCTTCACATTGCTAGATATTCTTTGGCAAACTGTTCTAAACAGAAACACTCAGAACCCCACCTTTCCCAGCCTGAGCCCAGGCCCCTGCACTCAGGTTGCAGTGATGATCTGGTCCTCTTGCTGTTACTTCCTCTACTCAGCTGATGCTCTGCTTAATGCACAAAAATGTAGCACTGATTTTCCTTAGTGACTATTCTATGTTACAATTTACGAGTAGAAATGAAAAAGTAATTGTAGCTGTGGTCTCCAGAGATAAAATCCCTTAAAAGCAGTAGAATTAGGTCTTACTGCTGCCTGCAGATCAAACTAGTGCAGCATCAGCCATTCCTGTGCCCATAAGTCACTCAGCAGCCATTTCAGTTGGCAGTCTGATTTTTCATGGTTGGCCTGGAAGAGAGCAGGAACTGAAGGTCCAACTTTGTCCTTCATGTCTGAGTTCAAGAGAGGCAGGAATTCTGCAAATGTGTACAACAATCACAGGGCTGAGATCTGCACCCTGACTCTATTGTGGGTGTCATGCAAGGTGTTGTGGAGCCTTTAGGGGTGTATGGAACATATGAGGTCCAGTAAAGTAATTACTGCTAAATAAAGTAAATTTATTTGATTGTTCTGATCTGTGTGACTAGCATGCTGTGTGGACTTCAACAAAAAAAGAAAAACCTAATTATATACATTTGTGTGTGTACATATATATATATAAAAGGCACTATGATGCTAACTTCCAGTATGCACAATTTCATGTGCTCGTGCTGAAATCGTCCTTCTTGCAAGTCTAAAACCTAATGTGTTTTCCAGATAGGTGTAACCTGTTCGTGGGTTCAGGGTTTCTTCTCAAGGTGTAATGGGATTTTGTGGTCCTTGGAGCTGCCACAGGCTTTCTCCTCTGAGGGAAACCTCTTGTAAATCTCTGGTGTTTTTCCCTTTGCTTTTTGTAAAATGTCTAGGCAAAGTCAGAGTACGTTCATGGCTCAGAAAAGCATCTCTGGGTGTGGTTTAAGGATGTGAGCCATGGATATATCTGACATAGGGAGCTCAGATCCTGCTCTTTCCTCAGTCCTCACCTGTTTTGTGCTGCTGTGCCTGGTTTTGCTTCACAGGCTGTATTATCTGGATGGGGGAAGGATGATCCTTTGAGTGTTTCCCACCTGCCAGGGCTTAGGGATGAGCATTTGCACTTCCCAGAGCTGCTCTGAGGTTCCTGCTTGCTGCTTCTGGTGGCCTTCATCGCCGTCTCTCACCTGGAGTCTGCAGCGAGGCCACGCATCCCTGCTCAGTGCCAGGCTCTGACTTCTTGGGAGCTCTGAGCACCTCTAGCAGTGACAGTGCCTAGAAAATGTGTTGATGCCGAGCCCCCAGCTCCCAGAAAACCCAGGGACATTTCCTAGTCTCCGGCAATTGCGTTGGAGGCAGAACTTTGGGAACTGCGGCGTGTTGGGCTGGCAGTCATGACTTCCCATCTGCTGTGAGCTCCTAAGCTTTGAATTTCTTGAGTAAGAGCCATTTTATCGTGCAGAGTATTAAGACTGAGGTGATGTCTCTGCTTTTAATATGAAAGTCCTGTTATTCTTCAGAAATGCCATAATGAATTAAAATATTCCCTATGGAGAAGTGCATTACATACTTTTGTGTTACAATATTGGACTGGAATAAAAAGCAGCCAGGTTGTCATTCATTTCCTGGTCTAGGGACACTATAAAAGTACTGTAAAGCAAGAATAGCTTTGCACCACATTTCTTGAATTCAATGATTGCCCTCTGAAGGTGCCACACATGATGGATTGTCACAGATTCTCTGTCCTGCCTTGACATTTCCTTCCTATCCAATGTTGTCTTGTGTTCTGCTCTGAATCTGCCAAACAACTGACCCTAGAATTTAATGCCACACCTTCTTCTCTTTTCTTTTTCTGAGCAGCATCCTCTGCAGCTGAGGCTCTGAAATACTGGAGGACACTGCATCTTCCTCAGGGACACGGGCAAGGGAGAGCTGGAGCCTCTGGGGGGCTCAGAAGGGAATTGTGGTTGGTGGTCGCCTGAGGAACTTACCTTCACCCCAATGTTGCTCTGAAAGGAGTCGTGTCCAACAGTCAGGTTTGGTAAGGTATGTATTTTTTCCCCTGCTCTTGTATTTTTGCTCTTTTCTGAATGTCTACATGTGGGGAAAGCAGAGCATTAGCAGCCTTTGAGTTTATTGCTGTATTCATGCCATGCTCATACTGTGTCTGTAAATAAGCTTTGCTCCCCCTGAATTTAGAAAGCGTTCAGCAGGAGTGAAGTGTTTTTATTGTCTTGGGCTTGAGGGGGTGTCTGTTTGTGTGAAGTTCTTTATTGAACGAAATGCTCGCTGATGGTTGTGTGTTGCTGCTGGTGATGGATACTTGGTGATAGGAATCTCTGTTTTGAAAATCCCACTTGTTGTGTTTCACTAATGACTGTAATTCTGAGGGTCAGAGATGGGGAAAATAAAAGGAGATGAAGTAGCCCATTTGTAATTCAACCCTGTGCTTTCCTTTGTGCTTTGTATATTCTCACTGTGTGCAGAGAATGGAAACACCACTACCAATTTCCTGAATAATTGTATTCCCTCTTTTTTGTGTACCACTTAAAATTTTTGTTTGTGTGAGTGTTCTCATACCCACGCAAATGTTGCCCTGGCTCTGCTGGAACTGTAGCAAGGCAATATATAACCATTTTTTAACAAGAAACTGAAGGCCAGGATGTATTGTTGATGAAGATCGTGCTAGATGAGGTTTTAGGGTAATACAGTCTCTATGACTTCTTTTACCTAGGTCAAGTTATTTCTGTGAAGGCAAAGTTTTCTGAGTAGAAAAAAAAAAAACAACCAACCAAACAAAAGAACCCAGATTTAAAGCAATGGTTCCAAGATCTCAGTAGAGTGATACCAGATGACATTATCCTTTTTCATTTAGCACATGGGTATTGACTTCCCTCATATAACTGAACCAGCACTATAATCTTGCTGAGAAAAGTACAGCAGCAATATAACACCTGTGCTTGGTGTCAGTGGAGGAGCAGGGAAAAGAAGTCAAGAGTTTCTTAAAAGCCTCTAAAATAAATCACAATGCAGGTGAGTGTACATTACTTCTCCTGCTTTTGATCTGGTTGGACTTGTCACGTTAGCTCTGGAAATTGTGGGCTCTAACTCTTGTGCTCCAGCAGAGCTCTCCCAGTGTCTGGCAATTGCAGGGAAAAGTTGGTTGGAATAGTTTAAATTGGGTGCTTAACGTTTAAATGTTGAGGGTCAAGAAAGGTCTGTTCCAACCACAGCATGTGCTGTTAATTTGTACAGGAATTTCAAGCAAACAACACGGTTGCCAGGGCAAGGTTCCCATCATTACAGCACAGCACAGCTCTGCTTGTCTGCCTGCTCTGGTTTCTGGAAGAAGAGCTTGTTAGACATTGCTCCTGCCTTTATTATCCTCTTCACTTCTGTTTATTTCCAAGCTACTGCTCTTGTGATTATAACACTTAAAAGGGAAGGTTGTAGGAGAGGTATTTGGTAATCAAGAGAGCTTCTTGACTCTCGCAGAGAAAAATTTGGCACTGTTAGAATATAGAAATCAAAGTTGTTTTGTTTATTCCTTGTTTGGATTTGAGATTTCTGAGTTGAATTATGTAAATCTTACTTTCAGTGAGGGTGTGAGTTTTGCTGGGTACCCAGGATGTCCCAGGGTGGATGAGGATCTGCTCCAGAGGTGTTGGTTGTTGGTGTGACTGTGGTGTTCCTCCTGCCTTGGATAGAGGGGCAGGAAATGAGCTCCCCTGTCATTCCTGAGCCAATCCAAGTCTCACTCTAGGTCTATATAAATGATTTGTGTGAAATTATTGTTAAGGAATTAAACTCTAGGTTGGACTTTGATTATACTTTTGCATTTTACATCGTTACCATCAGATCTAAAACTTGGTTCTTATTTAAATGTCACACTTCTGGAAACTTCATCTTTACGAAGAACATTGGACTTTGAGAAGGTTGTGCTAAACTATAAAGATTTGGCCAAACTATTGTTGCTCACTTGAGTAGGTGAGGCCTTTCCTTATTGATTCTCTTCATCTCGGGGACTCGTGATTACCAGAGTACTTGACTGCCATCAATTTTATCTGCTCCCACAACGCCATTGTAACACAGAAGTGCTACTTATCCCCATTTTGTAAATGGTGAATAAGAAACAGAGTCACTTCTAGGTCACTTCTAAGTGGCAAACATCTATCCCTGATTTTCAGGCAAGTCTTAGTGCACAAGCTGCATCTGCAGCCCTGGCTGAGCACAAGATTTAGTTATGGCTCTTTCTGAGGTCACTGCTTCCACCCAATCCAGTTTCTTCACTGTGTCCTGCTCTCCCTAGTAGAGAGGGTTTTAATTAAGTGATTACAGTAACACTTAATGACATCAGGACTCAAGGTTTCCCTCCCTATCTCTACTGAAAACTGAAACATCTGTTCAAATGATGTGAGCTGAATTCATTCATCTTTGCAGCTGAGTGTTTGCTCACGTGAGACGAGCAGATGCCCTTTTAGCAACACTTATGAAATTGTGCTGATGGTAATCTTATTGCATGAGGAATTAGTTTAAATGATTCTGCAGATGATGTGCAGAGCAGTAGTTTTTTTTCTGAAATTGCCCATTTTTAGATACTAGAATCTGGTTAGTAAAATGCTCTGTTCGGCTGAAAAGGCACATTTAATAAATATGTAAGAGAAATTTTTAAGTAGCCATTAAACATAGTTAATAAATTTTATCTTGCAAGTAGAATTGGAAAAAAACCTGTTCATTTAATGTGTTTTATGGCTTTCATAGCAATTAATTGTCTTCATTACATGAACATAAATCCTCAATGTAATTCACCTTTTTCAGATTAATTGCTATGGAAATTTTCCCTTTGCTTTGTTTAGACTAGTAATATTATTTCTCTTTTCTAAAAGTTGAATCTCAACATCACATTTTTTTACCTTTTCCAGATGTTCTGTAAATCAGTTCCAGTTAAAAAAATCTCTTTGTGCTCCAGGCCAGTGCAGGGGTGGTGTTGCAGCTGTGGTGCTCTGGTCAGGTGAAGCAGAGACTTCAAGCCCTGCTTGACCTGCAGCAGCGCAGTGGGCAGGTCTCCTTCTCTCATTTATTCTATTATATGGTCTGATAAAAACGTATTGATTTTTTCTTCAAATTTTTCTTGTTTCTTACATGATTTCATTTATTAAATCAGGAAAAAAACCCCTCTGATTTTATATGCCTCTCACAGTGAGACCCTAATGCAACTTTTCAGTGTCTTTGCTGAGGGGTACACGTGGCTGTGTCTGAAAATTTGTTAGTAAAATTGTCCTCCAAATTTATTGTGAGAAAATTTTGGTTGGAGCATCGTGGGATTGCTTCTTGAATTCCCAGAATTAAATTAAAAGCTGTATTTTGATTAAAGCCTTTGTTCCCCTGGATTGAATTTTGCACACCAAACAGGACTTGCAGGATCATGTTTTACATATGTTTTACATATGTTTTTTATCAGTGAGCAGGCTGAGCTTGTTTGCATGAGTAACATTTATGCAAAAGTTTTCTAATGTTCCTCTGGACTGTTTTGCCAGGGTGAGGATATGGAACAGCTATAATATTTGCATGTTTTTGTTGCAAGATCAGCAGACTGGCTGTTAAGGTATCAATTCCCTTGATGATGCCCCTTCTGCAGCCCCATTCACTCAGCTTCTCCTCACAGGGCTTTTATTGAATCCATCAACCTGACACATATCAAAGCACAATTTCTGATAACAAATATCTTGTTGTAAAATGAATTAAAGAGGTGATAGCAGCGGCAGGACTGAGTTGAATTTCTGAAAGAAAATACGAAACTCCAATACTAACATGAGATTCTTAAGATACCAATCACAGAACAGAAATATAATAGTCCTTTACCTGTTCTGCTGAAGTGATGAGAAGTCAGTGGGTCTGTGTGAAGTCATTCAAATGGCCTTGCTCCTGGGCTGGCAGCTTGTGGCTCTGCCTTCTGCCCTCTGATGTTTGTAGTGGTGCTTCAGAGAGCCTGATGAAGTTGGGGTTTGTTTTCTTCTGGAGACCTTTCCCCTGCAAGGAGCAGCAGCCTCCTTGTAATAACTCTGCACTCCAGTCGTGCAGAGACCTGGAGACTGAGGAGAGGGAAATGCTGGCTCTGAGTGCAGCACACATTCTTTCTCTCAGAAGCCAAAGCAGTTTGGAGCTCCTTGTCCTCTGCAGAGCTGCTGCTTGGCAGCCCATGGGCCACATCTTAGGCAGAGCCCAGCCAGGGTGGAAAAGGGCCTGTGTTTCTTTGGGCTGCAGGTATTTTGAAATTAGCTGGCTCAAAACCTTGGTCTGAGAACAGATTTTCTCTGTCTCCTTGCAATTCTCTCCTATCTGTTTTGCTCGCTTTGTCCTGCTTTTCTATTCCCTTTGGTTTTGCATCTCTCAGAGGACAAGCAGCTTCTGGCAGGGCTGCCTTTGCACTGGTACTGCTCTCACTCTGCCCAGGCTCACTTACCTCTGATTTTTGGCTAGCATGCCCTGTAAAATACTAGCTAATAATAGTCATGCTTTTTTCTCAAGTTTTCAGTTAAAGTAGCAGAAGTCTTCACTTTGTACGTTTTTATTACAAAATTAGTTGTCACAGTTGCTGACTAATTTAATGGTTAACTGAGGGGCGATCTCTAGGAAATACTGAGGATTTTGTAAAGGGCCAAATTGCTGCCTGGTGGAAGTCGCTGACTGAAATCATGATGGTGTGAGCCTCATCCTCTTCCTGAGCTCTGCCTCCTGATTGACATAAATTCTACTTTCTTTCTAATGCTGTCATGCTGATTTTTTGCAGCCAGGGGAATGTATTTGGAAGCACAAACCCATTGCACAGGTTTAGATGTGCTGCAAATAATTGTGAATGTCTAATGAAGGGAAGCTAAAACATACTGAAAATGTTTGGAAATACGAGGGAATGTGTGCAGCCAAGCATTAGCTGTGAGTGGAGAGTTCTTGTTGGCATCGTTTAATGGGAACTTTCCAGCTCCCACTTTCTGTGGTGAATATGTAGATGACAGCAAAACCAAAAAGGCAGGGTTGCTGTAGGCAAA